GTTGAGGCTCCGCGGCCGGACCGGAGCGGCCAGCAGCGGGTGACCAAGCAGCTGTGCGGACGGGGCTGGCTGCGGAGCGCCGCCCGCCGGAGGAAGCAGCCTCCGCCGGGACCGGGCGACGGGCCGGCGGAGGAGGAGGACCCGCACCGGCTCCTGCAGCAGCTCATCCTTTCCGGCAACCTCATCAAAGAAGCCGTCCGGCGGCTGCAGCTGGCGGCAGCGGCGGCGGCGGCGGCGGCATCCGCGGCCTCCAGCGGCAGCGCCTCGGCGGGGAGCGGCGGCGCGGACGGCGAGGCGGCGGTGGCGGTGCAGCCCCTGCAGTAGTCGGCGGGGACGAGCGGCGGCGGCGGTGACCGGGGCGAAGGAGCGCGGCCGCTGGCGGCGGCGGCGGAGCCCCCGCCGGGCGGGCTGCGGGAGCGCGGTGCGGGCTCCGCCAGGATGTAAGTGTGTCCCGGCGGCTGGGCCCCCCGGGCCGGGGCCGGTTGGGGCGGGGAGGGTGCCCGAACCCCTCCGCCCCAAGGTCACCCGCGGCGCGGACCCCGCGGAGCCCCGGCCGGCGAGGCCGCGCACGCCGCCCGCCCCGAGCCGTTGTTGTGCCCTCCTTCTCCTCTGCCTTCCCCGGGAGCTCCTCCTTCTCCTCCCCCCGCCGGGGCAGCCCGGCCGAGGCCGCGGACCCCCCCGCCGCCGGTCCCCCGCTGCCGCGGAGCTCCTCCGTCTCCCAGGAGCCATTTGCAATAATCCTCGCTGACCCCGGCGGGAGGTGTTTCCTTTCCCCTCCCGGGCTGGTTTGGTTTTTTGTTGGGGGTTTATTTGTTGTTATTTTAACGTTTATTGTTATTATTTCTCGTTGTGACTGTATGAAGCAGTTTTTAAAAATGTGAATATCAAAGCTGGAAGGCAGCTGGACTTAAAACAAATGAGTGAATGGAGCCTGAGATGCATTGTTCACATAAGGTAGCCGACACAAGTTTTTTCTACCAAAAAAAAAAAACCCTGAATCCACCCTTTCCCGACAAACTCAATGGCTCAAGTACAAGATGCAGCTGTTGATTTTAAATATATGCACTTCGTACCGGAGCGTTTGAAATGTGTTCCTGATTTACAGGACTTACCGTCTTAATTAACCTGTCTGTATTGAATAAACGTGGTCTTGTTTTTATTTTTGGGTCTGTGTCTCATTGTTAAGGGGAAATGAATTCTGATTCATGAGAACAAAACTGTGTAGGCACGTTCCCCCTTGATCTTCTTTCAGTTGTAAGATCTCCATTTTGCAAGGAAAAAAAAAAAAAAAATCCCCACAACAATCCGCATAGTCTGATGCAGTGGGACACCGGTTATTAATGCACGGAGATGCAACTGAGCCCCTTTGTTTGCCAGCAGCGTTCATTTGTAAGCCGTGAGACGCCCCTTCGAGCAGCCGAGAATGTGGCTGTTGGAATTTTTAAGTTAAATCATACTGAAACAAAAACTAGGTATTTTGTGCTGGGGAAGGAACATGGCTTGTGTTGGTCACTTGTTTGGGTTGTTTTGATTTTTTTTTTTTTTTTTTTTTTTGGTTCTCTGAGGGTAGAAAAAAGACTCTAGGAAAGAGAAGAGGTCTAGGCAGCAATCAAAATTTAAAATCTATAAACCAGAATTTGATAATTCAATGCTGGTCATTAAGTTCCAATACCTATTTTGAATAGCTTCCTTTGTAAAAATCCTATGTTGGGTTTTTAGGAGCCATTGAGCTTCAAGATCAGAACTGAACACATCAGACAGACTGGAGCTTAACAATCTCCCAACCCCCACTCAATTTGAGGTAAAAGCTTCTCCTTTGAAGAAGGTAGCAATCCCACATGAAAGAAAATGGAAGATATTTGCCTTTGTCCAAGAGAGCAATTTGAGCAACTACGTTTACTTGTGTGATTAGTTCTTTCATGAATACATTAAATCCACAAAATATTTTAGATTTCTCTCTCTGCCACAGCTGCTACTAGAACCTGATGCTGAAGGTTTTTGTGATGTCTCACTGGATTCCTCCTGTATTAGGACCAGTATGTGATATTATTAGCTTTATCTTGACTAATTTATAAGTTGAATGTAGTTTTTCCATATCAAAGCGTGTAAAATGCAAGAAAAAAAAGTTCTGTGCATTTTTTAATCTTCTTAATTACTAACATCTGAAGTCCTTTCTCATAACCTGGGCTGCTTTTGTGGCATTTTGCACTTGGAAAAGATTTGGATCTGCCATTAATTCTTACTGTCTAATACAATGATACATACTGTGTCAGTTATCCTTCAAATGAATTTTCATTTGCAATTTTCTTGTTTCTTTCTTTCTCCAGGAAAAAGTTCAATAGCAGGTACAAAGAATATAACCACTAGCCACAACTGAAGGACTAGTTATTCTTGTATTTGTCCTTTAGATGCTCAGGGAGGTAGGTATTTGCTGTGCAGATGTTGAATTTGAACCCAGGGATGAGTCGTTTAATTACTAAAAAAGCTGGAGGAAACAAGCTAAAAGCTGGGCATAGTTGGTGGAGCCTGAATAGTTAACTATGGTTAAAAACATATGGGTGGGGGTCAGCTGGAATTCTGAAAGCTGGCGAGTTTGACTTGAACTTTTTGCCACTGATAATTATGCATCGATTTTGCATCTCCTTTCCCTCCCCCCCTTCCTCCTCCCCAAACCCTAGCCCCTGTATACTAATGAGAACAGCTAACTTTACAAGTGTCCTTTGTAGTCATTGAAAGCCTCAAGACATTCCTTTTAAGGATTTTACTAGAATAACACTTTTCAATAAAGTGGCAGTTGAAGTGAGGCGTAGAAAAGATGCTAATAAATTTCACTGTGACTGGCTGGTTTTTAAGCTTCCTAAATTACTTCAAAAATAGCTTTTACTTTCTCCTTTGTGCAAGGCTGGGAGATGTATATATGAACAAGGTTATAGTAAGTTAAGTGTTACGCAGAGTGTGTGATGATTCAGTAAAAGGAATTTTGGCCCTTGTTTCAGATAACTTGCATAATTCACTGACACATCTTTGTCACTTACATCTTGCCATATAAGTCTTTGTCTTCTTCAAAATATAGAACATGTCACTCCTTCATAAGGGAATGGATCAAACATGGCTCGTTTTGGTTTTGGAAGACACATTTTAAAAGATGTTGGACCAGCTGAATTATTGCCAGGAGGTTTCTGTTGACTTGTTGCAAATTCTTCTATCCTTTGCCTTGTGCTACACTATGCAAGCATATAAACTGTGATATAAAAGTCATCATCTGCTTTGTTTCCCAAACAAGATAGAAAGTGTTGACCTGGGAAATAATAATTTTTCTAAGTTTTATATATCTATGTTTCAGAGGTGGAGTTTCTTTAGTATATTAAGTCTGTGCCAGTCCTCAAATACCAGTTGTTGGTTTCTAGAGAAGCAAAGTGGAAATACATTTGGCCTTCACAGTATGCTTAAACTTTCTTCATTTGTAAGTGAAAATATAAGTTTACTTACAGGTTTAAATTTGGAATAAAATTGTCTTTTCATGATAGACATTTAGCTAGGTTTTGGCTCTTTTTTTCTGTACTGTGAAGAAAAATTGTTCAAAACACACAGATTTTGCAGTGAGTGACATGAGCTGTAGAACTAAAGTAAATCCTTTAGATTTTTGTAACAAGTAATACTCCAATGCATTGGGGAAGAAAATTAATTTCATTTTATCTACAGGAGGCTATGTGTTTGGAGGGCAAACTTGATTTTAAATAATGTTGTAAACAAATGAACTGAAGGCTCACAACCCCATCTTTCAATGTGCCTCGCAGTGGTGTTGCACTAGCATGGCACTGGGCTGCCACAGATTTTTCATTTGTAGTCTACATTGCTGCTTAACTCCTCCTGAGTTCTCTCTATGTCTGGACAACTGTTTTCCTGACTGCCCAAAACTCAGCTTTGCATCCTAGTTATATCTTGTTCTTTGTATTCCCATGTTCCCTGAGCTCTTAAAAGTAACTCAATTTAGCCAGAAGTCTGGCAGGTAGAATGATTTTTGTCTGCTATTTCCCTCGTGTGACCCATCTCGCTTTTAGCTCACTATTGTGTATTGTACCAGAACTTTGAATCTACTGTAGAAATTATGTTGGCATGGTATTTGGCATAATAAACATGGTGGGAAAGTAGGGACTCCACCCTAAGTCCTTAAAATGAGGTTTAGAAGAAGCCTTTCAAGCAAATAGCAAGTGCATCGCACAGAAGGCGTAAGGGAGAAGGGTGTGTGCTGGTTAATGCACAATTTAAGTTCTGGTCAGCTGGGGCCAGTCCCAGTGTTGATGACTTCTCTTCCATCTCTGTATAAAAAACATTTCTCATTCCCTCCTAGTCCCTAGCCCCAAGATTTTCATCTCTTCACCTAGCATTCCCTGCCTTAGCCAGGCCATTATTTCAGCTTGTGGTTGAAGTATTTCACTTTTACATATCTTTTGTCCATGTCATATTACTCTTCCCAAATACTAAGTAGCTTTGTTCTTTTCAGTTGCTTTTTGGTGGGTGCTTTTGATGTGCTCATTTATTTGATTTTCAAGAAAATATCGTCGCTCAGTCACTTGGTGGCCATGATCTGGTTAACTCCTTACAAATCTTGCCGTGTGAGTTGGAGGCAAGTTACAAGTGTCCTTCAGCTTGTGCAGCATAGGGCAGAAATCAGAGGAGAAATCCTTGCTGCAATGAAATTAACAGATGAAGTTAGCAGAAGAATTCTTTTCAGCTTCCATGGGAATTTCCTCCTGATTTGGTTTAGTTTGTTTTTGTTGTTTGGTTTGTTTTCTTGGTTTTGATTTTTATTTTTTTTTAGAACTGGGAAATACCACGTAAAGTGGTACAATGACTACATAAATGCCATTGGGGGGACACAAAAATGACATCAGCAAACTCATTTCCTGAGTCAATGAGTTTGGTTCACTTTTTCTCTTCCAAAAATTATGTTTTAGCTGTGTGACTAACCTCAGTCACATTTGTCAAAGCTGCAGAACTGCCATTATACAATTTCCTTGGCAAAAGGCAGCTGCTGGAAAAGAATTGGTGCCCATAGAGAGAGGAAGGCTGCAGTGTGCCCGAGCTGCATTAGTGAACACTGTAAACTCCACAGCAGAGGAAGCTACAGGAAATCAGGCACCATAAATTCAGAGACGTGCAGCATTAGCTGTTCCTTATGCAATATCCTGTATTTAAATTGTATTATTTTTGCTTCCCATTATATAATATGGTGGTGTCTGGTGGAGTAATACAGCCAGCTATGAGTGCTGTTCATCACTGCAGGCATTAGGTAGGACATGAGCAATCAAAAGAAATTGTAA